ACAACATAAGAGCCTCCCAGAAACCTGGAGCAGCACAGAGCACCCCTGGGATGGGGCTGCAGCCTCCAGTGTGAACTGAAACTCTACCTTCTTTATAGATACTCTTCTCTCCTATTCTTAAGATCTCCAAAGAAGGGGGTTCCATAATACACACTGGCAACTCTGCTAGGCATTGGCTAGATGCTTTAGGATGTGGGCATGGCCTACAAGAACTACCTTTGGGCAACAACAGCAACAGAAAATGGATATTTATACATTTCCAAGGGACAAAAATTCCCTAAGTAGCTGTAGCATATGGGTACATGCTCCCCCCCCACCGCCGTTTATGAGGGCTTTACAATGTATTCTAACTGCACATTCTAATTACCGTATGTGATTCCCAGCAATTACCCAAATTAAATATGTTGATATAATTACCCCAATTACAGAATTGTACAACAGTTTAGTAAAAACCCTCATTTGGGGAGGAAAATGCAAAAAGAAAGAAACATATGAGCAGAAGAGCCCCGAGGTTGTGAAGTCCCTTGAGGGAATGTATCCTTTGCCTAACATGTAAAACTACCAGGCCGAGAGATGGGCTATTGAATATGTATGCCAGACCATTCTCCCAGAGCAAAATGGATAGGTTGCAATCCATAAGGTCAACCTGAATTCCTATAGCAATCTGAGGAAGATGTGGAATTCTCTGTCTATACCTCTACTGAGCTTTTATGTATGTCTTGGAATCCCTACTTTATCTCAGCCTGGACCATAGGTCCCAGGAGGACTAGTGTTTTGGTTGAGGCTGGAGCTAAGGAAAGCAGGAAGCAGGTCAGGCCCTAGGCAAAAAATGTCAATCAATCAACAAGACAAGGGACATACCAAAAATATACGACATAATTCCTACCCTTAATAACTCCTTCCATTTACATTCATTCATTCATTCCTTTGTTCATTCATTCAACAAGCATTCACTAAAAAAAAAAAAATCCTAGGCACAATATTAGGCCCTGGGGACATACAGACAAAACACAACAAAATGAAACTGAAAACAGTCCCTGTCCTCAAGGAACTTACAGTCTATGGAAGAAACAACATGAGCACAGAAGGGCAAATATATGTATGTGTATTATGTATATGTAAATATGTGTATACATAGAGATAGACATACTGATAGATAGCCAGAGGCCCCAGCAACTGAAGGGGATCAATATAGCTTCCCTATAGGAGGTGGCACTTGGGCAGAGCTTTGAAGAAAGCTAGGAATTCTATGAATTTATAAATCTGAGGCAAGGAGGGAGTACCTTCCCAGGATGGAGACAGAAGATCGAATGTCTTGCATAGGCCAGGTTGCCTCCAAAGGGAGGCTAGAACAGAGGAGTTTGTCTTATATTCCAGGGGCAGAAGGAAGCTACTGGAGTTTCTTGGGCAGGGAAATAATGCTTTAAGATATTTTAAGTGTTAATTCAGGACCGGCATTCAGGAGAGAGATAAGGGCTGGGAGTCATTTGCATAGAGATAACTGACTGGCTGCTAGGTGGACAGTGGATTAGAGTACTGGGCTTGGAATCTGGAAGACTCACCTTCCTGAGTTCAAATCCCTCCCAAATACGTACCACCTGTGTGACCCTGGGCAAGTCACTTTACCCCGTTTGCTTTAGTTCCTCATCTATAAAATGAGCTGGAGAAGGAAATGGCAAACCACTCCACAATCTTTGCCAAAAAATTCCAAGTGGGGTCACAGTCAAAAATGACTGAACAACCACAAATTGGTACCACCCATGAGAGACAGTCACAAGACCACCAAGAGACCAGAGAGGAAAGGATCCAAGACAAACTAGTAAGTAGCAGAACCAGGATTTAAACCCTTACACAAAAATACAAGCACTCTGGGACTTTACCTACAGTATCTCATGGGATCCTAAGAGGTAGCATTTTTATATACAGCACTTCCAGGTTTGCAAAGCCCCGAACATGTATTATCTGATCTCTACAACAACTCTTGGAAGTAGGGGTTATTCTCACTACTTAGAGAGATTTGCACAGGGTCAAACAGCAAGTGTCCAAGGGGAGATTCCAACTCAAGAAGCCTTCATAACTACAAGTACAGCACTCTATGTACTGCCTATTCTTGTTAACTATTATTCAGTCCTCACAACCACCCAATGAGGTAGGCAGTGTAAATACTGTTATCTCCATGGCTCTCTGGGGAAAACTGAAGTGACTTCCCTAAAGACAGCCTTCTATGGCATTTATATTCTAGCTGGGGAAACCAAACTAATGCATGCATACTACAACAGAGGACAAATAAGGGCAAAGGGGGTTCAGGGAAGGGAGTGATCAGTGTAGATCAGAGGAGAGCTTTGTCACAGAAATGTGATGCAATGGGAAGTCAGCAAAGTCTATCCTACACTCCCATTGTGCCTGTCTGGGCTCTTTCCTCCTTCATCACTGCACCCAGAGCCTGGGGCTCTGCTGGTCCTATCTGACCGAGTATTCAGTCACTCTAAAGCAAAAGGGAATTTCTTTTAATAAGGAAACTTGTGTTCTTAAACAGGGCCTAGAGAAGGTAATAAATAAACCTCAAATAGTGGAAACTTGGGCACCCAAGCACCTTGGTTTGGAGAGATATTGTGACATAGTGGGGTTCTTCTGGCATTCTTCAAAGTGGGTTACATAGGTGACCATCTTTTCCTTCTGGATGGGATAAAGGAAGAATAAAGGCCAGAGAACAAATCTTTGATAAAGGCTGAAGAAAATGCAGGTAGATTGCTAACTTTGCTCTGTCATTAAAGACCTGGCTGGATTAAACAGGCTGTATGTTTTTTGGTGAGGCAATTGGGGTTAAATGACTTGCCCAAAGTCACACAGCTAGTCAGTTATGTCTGAGGCTGGATTTGAACTTGGGTCCTCCTGACTCCAGGGCTGATATTCTATCCTCTGTGCCACCTTGCTGCCCCCAGGACCCATTTTTTAACAGTAGAACTTCACCCCTCTCACTTCTTATGCCGCTGCTATGGTTTTATTAATACTGTTTCTATAACATGGAACATGCCATGGCTAATGTGTTTTGGCAAACGTCTATCAACATGCCTTATTCATCTTTGAATGCCCACAGCAACCAGCACAGTGCCTGGCACCCAATACTTGTCAATAAATACTTGATTGATGGGTTGGCTAGCATCCATTAGTTTTCAGCAAATCTAGAGATTGTGCCTCTTCTACAGGCACCGGTTCAGTCCTGTCCTATCAGCGTTTAAAGCGGAAGCCCCTTATAGCCCAAAAGTTGGTAGGAATATCTTATCAGTGAGGTTACAGATTCAGTGGCCCATTGAAGTAGTTTACAAAGATCAGTGAATTGTAATGTCTCCACTAAATGCAAAACAGAAGGAAATAGGCTTTACCTGTAACAAGAGGGATTTAGATAGAAAGCATGACCAACCCCCCTAACATGGAGGCTGTGAGACTCTTACCTGAGGTGGCTTAACTCTGCTTCTCTGTGGAGGTAGAAATAAGCTGGATGACTGACCTTTTGAAGTCCTATCCTGATGTGAGTGAGACCTCAGCTTAATCCCTGAGGACTAGCTGCCTTGTGCATGTGTATACACTCACTCTCCCTCACACACACACACACACACAAACACACCCTTGGTTTGGAAGAGGGTAGGGGACAGCTAGGTGGTGCAGTGGACAAAGTATTGGACTGGAGTTCAAATCTGAAGAACCTGACTCCAAATCCAATCTCAGACATTTATTAGCTGTGTGACCCTGGGCAAGTCACTTAACCCTGTTTGCCTCAGTTCCTCATCTGAAAAATGAACTGGAAAAGGAAACAGCAAATCACTGCAGTATCTCTGTCAAGATAACCCAAAAAAATAGAGTCACAGAGTCAGACAACAGTGAAATAACTCAACAACAAACAATAACAAAAGAAAAACAATGAGAAAGGACGGACCAAAGAGGAATAAAAAGAAAAGCAGTCTTAGGCAAGAAAGGAAGTATTTCAAGGCCTAACTCCAGACCTGATGGTATCAGGGTGAGGGCAGTCCATTGATTCATCTGATTAACAGAAGCCAGGTTTTCACTGGTATTCCAAAGATGGGAATAGTAACTTAAGCAAAGGCAGAATCCTTGAATGGGAGATGGAAGATGACAAGGAAAGGCTTCTGAATAAAATGTATCTCTATTCCTCCGACTCATAAAGTGATGTTTGGCTGGTCCTCGGAATGCAAGGAGCTACAGAGCCTGGACTTTGTTCCCAATGAGCTATACGATAGTGTCAGGCACTGGACTGAGAATCAGGGAGTCTGGGCCCAAGGACTGACTCTGCTGCTCACCAACTACATGGCTTTAAAGCAAGTTCAAGTCACCTCTCAGAGAGGGTAGACCGAGGTGATCCTTAAGGGCCCTCGGAGCTCTGACAGTCCATGGCTCAAACAACAGATTGCCTATTTCCAAACCAGCATGAGACCAAAAACCATACTTCAGCAGTCACTTCCTAAAAGGACAAATAACCAGGGATATGACCTGACTAAAGACTTCATACTATGTTAGTTACAGACTTAGCTAACAATAGAGAACGAGGAGATTTGTAGAAAATATGTAGAAATAATGTTTCTGCTTATATTTCTAGCCCAAAAACTAATTCAAATAAGTGGTTTTGCCTGGATCACCATCCTATATAAATGAAAATCTGTATACATTTTTTAAAGTGTGTTTGAATTTCCTAAGCATAAGATTTTATGTCAGGGCACCAGCCTTGAGCAACACTTTCAATGCAGATAATTAGCCATTGGAAGAGGACTTCAAATAAATACATAATCTGTCTACTGTTCCTCTCAAACTATAGATAACAGCAATTCATATTAATGGTAAAAAGCCAAAATAAAGTAGAGAACACACAATGTGAGGTGAGTACTTAGGTCAAATAACGCTTGTATTTAGCTTTTCCCTACCCAATGCATCAATTTTGAGGGCTAAACTTCCCCGAACATTATATGCTGCAAGAACAGTATTCTCAATCTTGCTTTTTTTTATTTACTTAAACTGTACACAAATGTAAAATACTTTAACAGCAAATCTATGTGAAAATTGTTTGGTTTTAAATTATTATGAAACAGAACCTAAAAGGAACTTTATTAAATAAACATAATGGGGATGTAAAGATGCACTTCTCCATTCTACAGCTGACATTTTCTTTCTACATTCTGTGTGCGTATGGTATAGAAAAAAAACATTGAACTGAATAAACAAAATCCATTTGTACCCTGAAATAATTGGCAGGCCACCCAAGGGATTGCTCGAAATGTCTACATCCTATGTGATGGCCTAGCCATCTAATAAAAAATCACAACTAATACGTTGGCCTCTTTGGTTCCAAAATTATGTATAATACATTTAACTGTATTCGTTTTTGCTGCTATAAAAATAACTTTTTTTTCAAATGGCAGTTTTTGACTAATCATGCAACTAAATCAGTGCAAACATTAAAAGCAATCATTCGCTTAAAAAAGAAGCAAAAGATTTCATTTCAAGTATAAAAAATATAAAAAGTCATTATTTGAAGTCCAGTTTCACCTAATATGGGTCAACACTTTAAATTGCATAGCTCGTGTGGCACCTGTTTAACTAGATAGAGAGCCACAGTGAATGCACTGTCAAGTGCCACTTCTGAAGACATGGATGGAGATCAGCAACTGCTGCAGAGTGGGCCTTCAAGCTGTTTTGCAAGTGCTATGCTGGATTGGTGTTTTCTGAACTTCTTGGCCGTGGTAGACATCTCCCGGTGAGGAAACCGAAAGCATTCATCCTCCTCCTTCCCAAGACCAGTGAAAACTCGGCTGCTCTGCGGACACTAGGTGAAACGCTGGGTGCTCTGATCATGCATGCATCCATCCATCATGTCACTTCTGCTTTGGGGGACCACTGCTGGGTTCGTGGGCCACAGAGGGCTTGTTAGCCCAGCCCCGACTGGTCCTGGAGAAAGGCCCCATACAAGAATACAGACTGCAACTTGGAATTTTTCCCCCCACTTAGGACAGTTCAGATTTTTAACTGAAGGTCAGACCAGGGAGGAAAAGGCCCTTTTCAGTTTTACACAACTGGCATATTGATCTATGAACTCCTTCTGTGATCAGTTAAAGCATCAAATAATGTGTCTCCCCACCACCACCCCCCAAATCCCTCTCCACCCCCACCCCTCAATCTCATCTGGATGACAAGTCAGGGAACAGCGCAAGTCACACTGTTTTTGCCTCTGCATGACTGTCTCTGCCTGACTGTTTTCTCTCAGAGCCTCCCTCTCCTTTTTTCTGGAAGGGCTGCAGGAAGAGACGTATATCTGTGATTCTCAACATCACTGAGCCTGAAACGTGAGAAGAAGCCATCACCTTCAGTAGCAGGTAGAGCCTTAAAAGGTGACAGTCACTCTTACAGCAACACATAAGAAAACATAGCTCATACTGCACCCCCCAAACCCCCGCCTCATTCCCTGGCTCCCCATCGTCCTCAAGCGCTCTCTCTTTGTGCTTTTATGTGAGCATGGAGAACTCATTTCAGTTCAGCTTGGACAGCTGGTGGGAATAGCGGCTGCTTACCCATTCGCTCGGACTGACAGGCGTTTTGAGATAGGCTGCCATTTGTCACTGTATCCATTTGCTAGTATTCTGGAAGCTGCTCAGTGGGTGGCTCTGTGTGTGTGTGTGTGTGTGTGTGTGTGTGTGTGTGTGTGTGTCCGTGTGTCTGTGTGTCTGTGTGTGTGTGTACATGTGCATTCTAAGGTATTTCATTTCATTCATGGGTTCTCTTTTTTTTCAAGCAGTGGCAAAATTTAAATGTCCAAGATTCGCAAGCCGGCACCATCTTTGCACCCCAGTGAAATGGCCACATCCAACTCTCCACAGTGACTTTTGTCAACACCGATGTCTGGAAGGATCTAGTCTGGGAATGTTCTCCCCCCACCCCAGCTTCCCCACCCCTTAAATCAAGCACAGCCACATTCTTCCACAATCATATTGGGAACGTCCCTCTTCACAATGTTGTATTCATCGTCAAAGTACAGCATTGACATTGTGCTGAGTTTTGTTGGAATGCAACAGGAGTTCACGGTCCCTGGGTTCAGCCCTCGCATTCGGTACTGATTCACCACAGCGGTGTGAAAAGAGGAAGCTGACCCTGGGACTCCGGCCAAGTAGGCCGGGCAGCTCCCTTCACAGTAATTCCCATAGTAACCCGTGGGCGCAATGATCCAGTCATTCCACCCAATGAGTCGGAAGTCAATAAAAAACTGTTGCCTGCAACAGAGATTGGTCCTGCCGTCACACTCCAGCCCCCTTTTTCGGATTCGGTGCTTGTTGTCGGCTAGTCTGGCCTGTACTACCAAGAAGGGTCGGTGTGATTCTTCCCCAGGGTCCACAAAGACAGGGACCACTGCAAGCTCTTCACAGCCCTCACACTGGAGTTCCAGGTTCAGCCTCCTCTCCCCTTTCTCAAACAGGGACTGAATTGCCTCAGTCAGGGGGAAAGTGTGCCAGCCACTTCTCTTGAGGTCTACCTTTTTCTCCACCACATTCCACTTGTCACTTCGGTCCAGATCCTGGAAGTACACTTTGATCCGGACTTTCCGTCGGGTGCCTTTCTCAAGGACATAAGGGAGCAATTTCAAGTATAACCACAGGCTGGCCTGCACCACAAACAGATTCTGGTTGCCCTCATTGGAGATAAAGAAATACAGGCGGACCCTGGAGGAGGCAAGGTCATCTGTGGAGAAGGGGAAAACATACCAAATTAATCCAAGAAGATAAGGCAAATGGGGGAAATTCAGACAACTTTTTTTTTTCCTGAATGATGCTAGAATTTGTGTTCACCAAACAGATGGAAAAAGTTAGTGACCAGAAATACTGTTCCCAAGCCCCAGCGTCTCTAAATGTATCCTGGGAGAGACTGAAAAAATAATTTCCCATTGAGAAATTCGGATCAGGTTAGAGCTGGAGGGTCCAGGCCTATAAAATCCTGCCTCACCTCTCTGGGGCCAGGATCCCTGGAGACAGATTGTCAGGCCTCAAAGCTAAACAGAGGAACTTGTAAAGATGCCAAGATCTTAACAAGTTGTGATGGGTATCTGTGAAATCTGAAAAACAAAACCGGGATTGCACGGAGGTTCTTTGGGTGGGTTGGCTTTTTTTTTTTAAGTTAGGGCATTGCAAAATAGACCTCAGCTACCTCCTCTTTTCACTAGAGTCTGTTTACCTAAGCATGATCCAATACCTGGTGAAACCTCCACAGCAAACAAACCATCTCTGCTCTGATTTTCAAACACTTGGAACATGTGTTTCTGGAGCTATAAGCTACAGTCCTCATTTCAGATCAGTTTTAGGGAAGAGGACAATTCAGCCTTGAAAACTCTGGTCCAGTGCTTTGGCCAGACCCTGACTCCTAGGTAATGGATATGCTCAAAGTCTCTAGGGAAGAGAAGGCTGGTTTGTTAGTTTTCTCAATAATTCAGCTCTATGAGAAAAGGGCTGTGCCAACTGATAGGTAACTCCTCTCCCATACTGCATTTCAATTACTTTTCCCTTCTGATGGCTTCTACCTTTTTTTTTAACCTTTTTTTTTTTTGCAGTAAGGACAAATGAAGCAATTGTGTAGCAACTGCACAGCATTATCACATATACCACCCCCCACCTTTCCCCTGCCCCCAGTCCTCTCCACTTTCCCTGACTTGCTTCTTTAATAACACTGACATCCACCGTTAGAAACCGGGAAAGCTGCAGCCTTAAAAGCTGCTACTGGATGAACTGCCTGTGACCGGAATATGTTATTTATAACCCAAAAGGTCCATTCTATGGAATGGACCAGAAATATCATAACCCCTACTGTCCTTTTGTGCTATCAGGATTAAAGTTTCATGGCAAAGGGGATAGATAACATTTCCACCTTGGGCCCCAAAGCTCCTTTTAATCTAGGTCCTCTAATTATGCATCATACTTTCAATTACTACTGCAGATGGCAGAGAGAGCCCTGTATTTCCAAATGGTTTCCCTCTTAGTGATTTTTCTTCTTTTTTTTTCTATTCATGTTCATGCAAAACTTTTTAATCCCTGAGTCCCCCCTCCCAAAAAAATATCTCAAACAGATTCTGGCTGCTTATTTGCAAAATATTCATTTCTATTTCTGAGAGATCCCATTTAGGTTTACTTAACTGCCTTCCTGTTACAATACATCTCTCATCTGCTTCCTCTGGAAGTACTCTCTGTATAAATATGATCTAAAGGGCGGCACAAAAGCAAACCAACATCATTCGTGTCCTGAAAAAAGACAGCAGAGCCAGAGCTACTTTCATAGCAGGGCCTTTTTCCTCTTTCTTCTAATGTTCTGAAATACTTTCTTCCTTGATTTTTACATATAGTCAGTTATAAAATCTGGGATCCCAAGCAAAAAACAAAAACAAAACACCATCAGAAAGGCCCCTTGCCCTTTGTTAACAGCAAAATAACCGTATTCTAGCCAAGAGGTATCCCCACACACCCCCTGCAATGCAGGTGCTGATTGGGTAGTATTTATGCCTTTGCTATTGACATGTATTTATTTATGGATGCATCTTTACCTATATAAATTATGGGACCTGTTGAAAATGTATTTAAAAGAAGCAGTTTTATAATTCCATGAGTAACTACAGCGTGTTATCAGCGCAACTGTACACACGTCTTGCAATTACAACCCAGACTCTAGGAATACTAGTATTCATGGATGATATGCAATTGGAGTACTTACACACGCATACCATCCATGTATGTCAACAAGAATATATATCCCACTGTAAGCCTATCTTCCAATCATAAGAAACACAAACATTAAGCAATCAGTGAGCAAGTGTACAGATAGACAGGGCCAGATCGCTACTAACCATGGGGTAGCAGACAAGTAAAAAGATGTATGTAGCTGACATTCACGTACAGAAGATGAAGAGAACCGCAGAGAAAAGTAGGCACAGTAAACAGGTAGAAATGGTTTTATATATATAGCCTGGAGGGGGTGGGTGAAGACAGACCAGGCAATTCTATAGGAAACAGAGAGCACCAGCAATGATTTTTTAAAAAATAGATATGTATATATAGGAGTATAGAAATGCAGAGCTAACTTAGAAAGCCAGAGAGCCAGTGAGATAGATACATAGATAAATTACTAAGAAAGGTAGATTGGTGAATGAGCCTGACAGATGATAAATGATTGACCATTTAAATGAAGGACTGTGGCTGGAACACGGGGAGGGCTGCACGAGAGATGACAGATGAGCGAATTAATTAGAGATGCAGCAGGTGGAAAGACAGATAGAGTTGGGGTCAGAAAAACACCAAATGAGGCTGGAGAAGAAACGGATGGCTGTATTGATAAAGAAACGGGAGGAATGAAAGCTAGGGGGCAGGGATAAGAAGGAACTGAAGGGGCCAGGGGGGAAGCTGACCAAGTGCGGCGGCGACGCTGGTCCCCACCCACCTGTCTCAGCGAAGCTGATGATCTCTGACACCTGTTCCTGGCCGTCTGAGCCCGAGCTGGCATGCCCGTCGAGGTGCGGGATCTCCATTCGGCCGTCTTCCCGCACCTTTCCCGCATGCAGCTTGCGCAGGGCGGTCACCATGGCGGCCTTGGGCACCGCGTGGGTGATGTTGGGGCGGCCCCGCATCTGCAGCCGGCTGAGAATGTGCCGCTTCACCGCCTCCAAGAAGTCGCCGTCCACTTTGCCCGGCTCCTCTGGGCGCCTGAAGCCACACGACGTGCAAGTATCTGGGGGGGCGCCCTCGGTTCCCGGAGGGGCGGCTGGGGAAGGCAGAGGTGTCGGCGAGCCCCAGGCCTCTGGACCCAGCCAGCCAGCTACCAGGAGCAGAAGGCAGGCGGCTCCCAGCGCCCTCCCGGGCAGCCCGTCCATGGTGCGCAAGGAGGGCGCAGAAAGGGAGCCGGGGATACAACGCGCTCCCTCCCCCGCCCCCCAAAGCTCTGGTCCTCCTCCCCGCGCTGACTGCTAAGCGCCCGGAGTGGAGGTCTGGGGTCGGGGGGGGTGGGGGAAGGGGAAGGCTGGTTGGGGTGGGAGGTAGGGAGTATGTAGCCTCGGCGGCAGTTCTTTGCTTGGGGAGGAAGGGGAGGAGGACGTGGGGAGAAGCGAAGCGAAGGAAAGCGCGCACGGGAGGAACCCGGGGCGGGGAGGGGAAGGGGGAGGGGGTGAGATGGAGGGAAGGCAACAGATCACGGGGGAAAGGGGGGAAGGGAAGCGAAAAGAAGAGAACCGGGCTGGGGCTTCGGGGAGGGGAAGCAGCGGCCGGAGCAGCCCCGGGACTGGAGGGGGAGGTAAGGAGAGAAGAAGAGAGCAAGCAACGGGGGTCACATCCAACTGGGTCCCTCAGAGCAAATCAAAATCTTCAGCTTTCTCTTCATTTCTCTTAGGATTTACCACCCCCGCAGTCCTCGCTTAAAAACAAAAAATTTTAAATTAAAAAATAAAGAAAAAGAAAAAATATTTTAGTCCGAAGTCGTCAAGGTGAGGTGAGAGGGCTTAATTCAACTTGGAAAAGAAGGAAGGCATAAAATGTTCCAGCACCGTCTCCGTGCTGTAGCGGGTCCCCAGGACACACACCTGAGCGCCCTCCCAGCAAAAGAAAACACAGTTTCTCCTCGAGGCAGCCAGTGCTGCTGCCGAGTCGTGACTCGCTGGGCTCCGCTTTATAGGGAGGCGCTGGGCACCCTGTCCTCTTAGCCCTTGCAGCTCCCTTGACGCGTCACGCAGCCAAAGTTGTCTTTAAGAAAGGCGGAAAAAAAAGGATCACATCAAGGAGCGACCCTCTGTCCTCACTCTGCCTCTCCTCTTCCTCCTCTCCCTCTGGATCGCTTATTTGTTGGTGATGATGGTGATGGTGATGATGGTGATGATGGTGGTGATTTTCCCCCCTTCTTCCTGTCGCTGCGGCGGAGGCGGTGTTTTTCAGATCTGGTGTCTAAAAGTCTCGCAATGCCCTCGGTGTGTGCATACATACACACGCGCGCGCGCGCGCACGCACACACACACACAGACATACACATACATATACACAGAGAGAGAGGGAGAAGGGGGGGCAAGACGGAGGAGAGGAGAGAGCTCGGTCCGAATGCAGCAGCTGCGAAATGAAAATCCTCTCTCGGTCAGATGAGTTCTTCTCTTTTGCCCTCTCCTTTTACTCTCCCTTTTTTTTTTCTCCGGGGGGGCGGAGGGGGGAAGCAACACAATCCCTTGTGTGCGTGTGTGTGTGTGTATTTGTATGTGTGTGTATGCGTGCGTCGCTTATAGACGCTGGCCAAAAAAAAAAAAGGCTTTGCGTTGCAGTAGTGGATGGTGTCTCTCCTCTCTTCTGATTCTCCACCCCCCCCCCGGGAGGAGGAGGAGGAGGAGGAGGAGAAAGAGGAGGAGAAGGAGGAAGGGAGGGAGTCAGAGAGGCTGTTCAGGTTGGTGTCCCTTCTGCTTGCCCCCCCATACACAGACACACACATCACACATACATACACATACACACATAATATATACACACCTTTTGCTTCTTCCCCCTTCTCTCTTTTTTTAAGGAGAGGAACGGGGAGGGAAAACCACCCCCTTTGTCTCCCCATTCCCATTATGGTGCTACTTTTTTTTCCATTTGAAACTTATATCGGAGTTCTAACCACGTGAGGAAACTCCAACCTCTAAACGACTCCGCGGACTTCGAGATCAAAAAAGACGTTATTTGTTATGATCGTATCATTGTTTTATGCCTCTTATTTCCCCTTGCACCCCAATGTGCTGGGGTACTTAACTTCCTGAGGCGGGTGGGTAATAGGGACCCCAGTTTGCTCCTTCACTGTCTGTCCATAGCACATAAAAGCCTTTCCCCAAAGCGTGCCCTTCCCCCAACTTAGCCAGGCTCACTCCTTTCCCTCATTCCACCCCCTCCCGCACATCCGTAGCAAACTACTAGCTTCTATTTGTCTGTTACGATATACGACTCATACTGGCCCCTCTGCCGTCTCTTCAATCCCTCACCAATCACAGATAAATCACGACTAGAGATAGGGGGATGGGGGAATTGCAAATAACAACTACATTCCATAGCAAATTGCAATGTAAACAATATGAGTGGATTTTTTTTTAGGAGTGAGAGGTTGGGAATTTTCTCCTGGAGTTGAGGGATGGGGGGAAGGGGTGTCAAGAAGACCTAAGTAAGTGAAGCAGGCTATATTAAGAGGAATAATTACAAATCTTTTCCGGGCTGCAATGCCCTCCAGCGTCAAGGGCTGGTGATCCTTCATCTCCGAGGTGTGAGCAGGGGGCGGGTCTGAGGAGTTAGCTGGTGTGGCGCTTCTAGGAGGTTCATGGAGGTGGAGGAGGTAGAGAAGATAAGGGGCCCAAGTGGAAATAGCCTGGGAGCTGGGTAGGGAATCCCCAGAATGCTGACACCCTTCACCTTCTGTGGCCCTTAACAGTGACACCCCCCACCACCACCATGGTGTGCTAGGATTGGGGCATCTAGGCTGAATCAGACCACTTACTAAAAGAAGGTGCCTCTGAATCTTTAAACTCCCCCATGAGCTACCAACTCCTTCCCCAACATCCTCTTCCACCCCCCCCCCAAAAAGAATCCCTACAATACAAATCATGTAACACCTTTCCTGGTATGTTTCGCTTACACATACCAGGATATATTGAGCTTTAAACACAACACTTTTTGATACTTACATCCCCATCCACCAATCCTACAATCTTATTCTCAGAATGTCTTCCTGCTTCCTTTTCCTCCTTAGACCTACATAACACAAAGTATGCTACAGTACTTTATATGCTCTCAATTGGAAATGGTAACTCTGTGCTTTCCCCCACACCCCCATTAAGATAATAAAACAAATATCCAGAGATACAGGCCAAATTCCATTCCCCCTCTCCCAAGCCCCCAACTGTACAAACTGCAGACATGGAAACCCAATAGTCATATGCTGACACCAACATCTTCCACAGAGCACAGAGTGTGCCAATAGCATAGCATACAAGCAATGGCCCTGGCACCTGCCGCCCCCTCAAACCGCACACTTGAACCTAGTACTCCACAGCAGACACACCCCATTCCTATATACTCTCACCTGCCTGACACAGAGCTGAACTGCAGGCCTTGAGTTGGCCACCTTTTCCAAAGTCACAGTTTCTATCTTTCCTCTTCTAAATGGAAGGAGAGCAGAGGAAGCATTCCTATAGTTTCTTTATAATAAATTAGAAGTATTATATGTGGAGTGAAAATGCAAAAAGGAAGACTCCACACACACACACCCTAAGGCTAGCCAAATGCCCATTTTTACCATAACTGGTAGCTTCCTACCAGTTAAATGTCTATCTGTTAAATGTCTCTAAGCACCTTGTACAACCTTTGAGTAGCTAGAAATCTGGAGACAGAGCGCCCCCTCCCTTCCACTATGAGAATGGCCTTGTGATCTGCATTGGCCACTAGAGAATCTTCACTGAAGCAGTGACAAGATATGTGTGAAGGTGCAGGGGAGAAATGAGGAAGGTGACTGAGATGGGTGGCTAAGAAGGTCGAGAAGTACAGAGAGCAAAAGCTCTGAGTATGTTGCAAACACATACATACACAGGGAGAGAGGAAACAATTATGTACTTGAATATACATACCAGGAGACTGTGGGCCTTGTCTATTTGCTGAGCAAAGAGAAGGCTGGCTTATGTAGGCCTCCGAAAAGACATTCTCATAAATCTTGTGTTCCTTTTCCTGCCAGAGGCACTACGGTGACATTGTCTATGGAAGATAACTGCTATACCTGGGTTTCAACTTCTTTTCTTCCCCCAAAGCTAAGTCAAGACCTTAAGAGTAACGTGGTGACTGAAGTTTATGGGATATCACAGAGGCTTGGTGTTGGAAGAGGCCCTCAAGGTCCTCTAGTTCAACTAGTAAGTGAAGAAGAGTCCCTTCTCCAACATGGGGGGGGGGGGGCCTTAACCTCTCCAAGAGGATCTGGAGTAGGAAGGAGCTGGGAGAGAAGGGATTAAGGGTAGTAATAACTAACTTCAACCTACAAAGTTGGCAGCCTTTTTCCACAATTGTAATATAGACATCTGAGACACTACCCACCATAGACCTTATTTCTCCTCACTAGAAGTCTATAAGCAAAAGTTGGTGATCGTTTTTTGGTTAACAGACTGGTAAGGTTTTTAAAATGCTCAAAATAAAATACATAGGATTGCACAGGAAACCAATAAAATTGAAATTGTTATCAAGATTTAAAAAAAAGTTCATAGATCCCACTTTAAGACCCCTACAGGTCACCCCCTAGGAATAAGATTATATCTTGTTGCCTTCCTCATCTCTCTCCCAGGTCTCTGCCTTCAACCCCTGGTCTCATCCTGGTCTTCCTCCTTCATCTATTCTAGACACTCATCCTATGTTCTCTTCCCCAGGATTTACCTCAACTAACAGACCCAGTAAGTTGCCATGTGAAGGTTAAGGTGTTATCCCATGCCAGAGATCTGCATTTTAATAGAGACTGTTGGAGGTAGGAAAATTTCAAACCCATAGAAGTAGATCACTAATGGTGGAATTTCAGGAATTGAAACAGGTAAGGGAAGATGTTATTGGGAAGAGTTCTGCCTGGTATTTTAATCAAGCCATGTAGGCATCAGCTTACACCTTGGATCCTAAGGCTGGCCCTGCCCACAGGAACTCTTCTTCTTCAGTCCCTACCGGCCTCCCTGACTCTTCCCATGATCAAAACATTGGATGCAAAATGAGGGAAGTAGGTATATGGATTATAACCCTTTGGGAAGGCGCATTCCTGGTTTAGGACTAAATAGCAAGATGGTACTTATGAAGAAGAAAAAGAAAAATCATTTCCCTCAGGATCTGGAGGAAATGGAAGGCTGGTGGAAGCAGGCCTTTGCTCCCACCTAGGGTAGGAGTTGTCATCCTTGCTGCCTTTTATCTGCTGTGAGGGAACTGGGTCAAGTGGTAGTCAGAAACCATCTGCTTGAGAAGCTGGGATAATCCCTGACCTATGCTGATTCCACCCAGCCCATAGGAACAGAGCGTAAATGAGGTCCTACCAGATCACCTCGTGGCTCTCTGAGGGGAGGAGGGAAATACAGTCATTCACTCCCAAATCCCCTCCCAGTGATATAGTGACAGGTTCCTGTTGCTTCAAATCCTCTTCTAACACCAGGCTGTCCATTCTAATCCAGATAATGACCTTGGCATTTGCTTTTCCTGCTTGCTATAGGGAGTCTGGGGAAAGGGAAACCTTAATTGCTAATAAAAAATACAAACTATTAAGAACTCAGAAACTATACCTAATTAATCAAATTTATCTCATCATCAATTATCATAACCATCATCAATGGAGGATAAAAAAAAAAAAGACTACTCCTCTGGCTATTGCCCAAACCCTCAAAAAGCAAGGCTTCCTGCTGTTACAGAGAAACTTCACCCCATAGTAGAGCAGACTGTGTGGTAGTGAGTTTAATGCCATGGATTATACTGGATGCAGAGGAAGGAAATTTCTTCTAAAGAATTCAAAGAGCTTTCATGCATTATTGCTTTCACATCTTCCATAATTAAGTGGCAATCTGGGGACAATAAGCTTATCTAAAAGAAGCAAATCCCAATTCAATTCAACAACGATTTCTTAAAACCCAGAAGGTACCAGCCCATCCTCTCTCCTTATTTTATAGATGAGGAAAATGAGGACCATAGAACTGATTCACCCAAGATCACATCAGTAAGTCACAAAACTAGGATTTGAACTCAGGTCCTCTGACTCAAAATATAATGCTTTTTCCATTAGACCTTGATATTTCCAGGGGTTGGTAGACACTGTCGAAAGATTCTGAATGTGGACAGAGGCCTAACATGGTGACTTTTGTGAAATTTTCAGGACACAGGCATATCAGTAACTTCATTTTGGTCATTTTGAAGTGACCCCTGTAAGGTGTCCCTGTAGAGTTACCAGATTCACAAAGGGAGCCTAACAAAACCCGGGAGTTCCAGGGGGCTGGTCAAGGGTCATTTACAAATTTGCCTTTAGGGGAGGAGGCGTAGTAGGGTCTACCTAGAACAAGCTGGAAAGGCCTTCAGAGGCCACCTACTCTTTTCCAATTCCCTCATTTTCCAGATGAGGAAAAAAAGGCCCAGGGAGGTTAAGGTACTTGCACAAAATTGGTTAGGCAGGAATATGATTAATATGTCTTCCTCCAAGTGTCAAATATCCTCCACATGTCAAAATCATACCCTATTTCTTGAGAGATAAAACAGAAAATTTTGTTC